ATAAGAGGTGTTTAGGAGTTCCTGGATATACGTAAAGAAGACAGTTGAGTAAGTGAGTATGTAGACTCTGTGCCAAAGACTGTCATCAATGCATTGCTGGGGGCTCAAGATGGAGCAAGGGAACAGACAAGGAATTGGGGTAAACATAACATGAACAACACCAAGATGCGTATGAACTAACAAAGAGCATAAGCACGAACAAAGACAACCCTGGTGCAATCCTTTACAGGGAACAGAAAGAAAAAGTGAGTCACTTTGTGTTCGCGTCCGCTGAAGGTCCAAAACTGACATAGACTTACTTTACTACTTATTCTTTCCTGGTACGATTACAGTGACTCCTATAGTTCTTATTTAAGTACTTATTCTATTTCTTGATACTAAAATAACTACAGTGCTGATTGCTGTCCTTCACTCACACACCTTTTCCCCATACTGGAATATAGAATGAAGATTATTTATTCTCCTCGATCAGCAATCATGGGCCGCAACTTTTAACACATACACTTTATTATTCTTTGACTTTCCTCATGATAACATCTATCAAATATAATTACAGTGATTGCAACCTGCAGTTTGCGCCCTTGATGACGGCTTGTTTTGGTCACGTGCCTTGCGTGACACCGAGAAATTTTGTCCCCGTTAAATTACAGAAAGTAGATGTTGACGAGGGAGCAGCAGATATAAGGAGCCTACGAGAAGTATTATGGTCAGCTTTTATCCATCTTTTTCAGCCTCTTGGTATCTTTTTGCTTCCCTTGATTTTGTTCATGGGAAACAAAGGGGTCGGGATGGCATCTTGGTGCGACCAATTTGCTTCCCTCTGTCGTAATCTGTGTGTGTAGACACGTGGGGGAAGTTGTCCTCGGGACGAGCAGGTGGCCAAGATGAATAAAAGCCGGCTCTAAAACTAGATGAAGCACAAAATACAGTTCTGAAGATGGATCCTCGTGAAGAGCAGCAGATGGACCATCGTGAAGAGCGGCAGCCTTCGCCTTTGCGTAGTCCTTCCATAATGGACGATAAAAAGCGAGAAGGGCTGTACGCTAGCAGCCGTGTTTTTGAAGATGTTGAACAAGGCAATCCGTCTATGAAGAAAGAAGAAGGTGCAGCCAATAACTCCCCCATGAAGGGAGGCGAAGCTAATTCCTCCATGAAGAAAGGTGCAGCTAATTCCTCGTTGAAAAAAGACGAAGCTAATTCCTCCATGAAGGAAGACGAAGCTAATTCCTCCATGAAGAAAGACGTAGCTAATTCCTCCATGAAGAGCGACGAAGCCAATCCCTCCATGAAGAAAGGCGAAGCGAATTCCTCCATGAAGAAAGACGAAGCTAATTCCTCCATGCAGAAGGGCGAAGCTAATTCCGCCATGAAGAAAGACGAAGCTAATTCCTCCATGAAGAAAGATGCAGCTAATTCCTCGATGAAGACAGACGAAGCTAATTCCTCCATGAACAGAGACGAAGCTAACTCCTCCATGAAGGAAGACGAAGCTAATTCCTCCATGAAGAGAGACGAAGCTAATCCTTCCATGAGGAAAGGCGAAGCGAATTCCTCCATGAAGAAAGGCGAAGCTAATTCCCCCATGAAGAAAGGCGAGGCTAATTCCTCCATGAAGGAAGGCGAAGCCAATTCCTCCATGAAGGGAGACGAAGCTAGTTCCCCCATGGAGAAAGGCGAAGCTAATTCCCCCATGGAGAAAGATGCAGCTAATTCCCCCATGAAGAAAGATGCAGCTAATTCCCCCATGAAGAAAGACGAAGCTAATTCCTCCATGGAGAAAGACGCAGCTAATTCCCCCATGAAGAAAGACGAAGCTAATCCCTCCACGGAGAAAGATGCATCTATGAGTGTGGCACCGGACGACGCAACCAACAGTTGATAGGCAGAAGCGACGAGCAGAGACAGATAAAACCTGCAGTTCCGGATGGTGTACTATAGAGTCAACATAGCATGCAGTCCTACGGAAAAATAAGTCAACGCAGAAATCAGTGCGAGTTGCGCTGATGGACTGACGGCCTGCTCCAATGTCTGACTCGTAGTTTTTCTCATTTGCTGAAAGGCTTAACTTGTAGGAGGTTGTTCCATTGTTTGAGGAGTGCAGCTCCATAAGCTTGAGTGTGCCACTTCTCCATAAACTTGATCCTTTGAGGAGTGCTGTTCTATAAACTTGACTCTTTAATATCCAGATCTCTATATGCCGATAAGTATTTGTATTGATCTCTATTCAGGTCTCTATTCAGATCTCTACTCAGAAGATCTTGGCGTCCTGATCTTTGTATTGATCTCTACTTAGATCTTTACGTCTTGATCATTGTGCTGACCTCTACTCAGGTCTTTTTCTTTTTACTGATCGTTATACTGATTAATGCTATTTTGATCGTTATTTGAACTCGATGCGCTATTCAGATCATCTTTGCGCTCATTATATTGTTCGCTCTAGATCATTCAGGCCTTTGCGCTCATCATATTGTTCGCTCTAGATCTTTTCGATCTGTCTTCGGAAGATCTTACTTCTTTTGAAGGCTCATTGTTCTCTTCACTGAGATCATGTCATACAGATATCTCAGATGAGAACTAGTGTTTCACCAACGCTAATCAAGATTGTGCACGAGATAACTCAATGTATTGTTGTGTTGAAAAAAAACATTCGTCCGTTCCCGCCGTCCCCGCCTTTGGAGGGTGGAGTAGAAGATGCAGCCGCGGCTCACACCGTCACCGGTTGTGGCGTGGCTTCGTATCTTTATTCTTCTGCTGAAGATGGATCCGCGAGCCAGAGACCTTTTAACGCTAATTCTAGAGAGTCCGCCTAGATTAGAAACTGAGAAAGTTTAGTTTGTCTGTCGTGAGAAGCTACATTCTGTCGTGAGAAGCAGCTAAGATCTGTCGTGAGAAAGTGCTCGCTCAACTGCAAAAAAGCTACTAACGTCTGTCGTGAGAAGCAGCTAAGATCTGTCGTGAGAGAGTGCTGCGACGTGTGTCGCGAGATACAAGAAAATGACTATTGTGGATCATGGGGTTTTGATCTATGTTAAATTCTAGGTAATGGATGTAGCAGGTTCCTATTCCAGCATAGAGAGTTGTGGTGTGTAGAGTTGGATGTTGTGGGGTTTTCCAATAATAAAGGCTTGTGTTATAATGAAATATCCATTTATTTGCATGACACATTAAACGCGGCATCACAGACCTCCACGTATATCCTCTATTATTGTCTGTTTTTTTCCTACCCATCCTCATCCACCCTCCCAAGATTGAGTGGATCATCTTAATATCTATGCACTTAATTCATGTTCTACTTTGAGTATCATCTTGTTCCCTTGACCACTTCTAGGAATGAGCTTTTAGGAGGAAAATATAGTACAAAGACAAGCTACCACGCTGCTAGTACTTAGTCTTGTCTGCCTGTAACGTCTTATAGCACAACACTTGCTCATCTCCCTCACATACTTGACTTGACTGCACTGAACTTCACGTCACTATCACTTCACGTCACGTCACTGCACTTAGCTTCACTGCATTTCACTTCACTTCCCGTCACTTCCTCTCACTTCACTTCCCTTCACTTCACTTTGCTCCTTTACTTTGGTTCAACTTCACTTCACTAAATAGTTCGGTGGAGAGGTAAGTTTACGCTACGTACACAATAATAAGATGTTAGCAAAGTTGTGGCGTCACAAAGGTTCCGGAGAGGCGCGGGAGAGACCTCATGCACAGCAGAGACCTCATTCACAGCAGAGACCTCATGCACAGCAGAGACCTCATGCACCGGAGAGGCCTGAGACGGAGGAGCACTTCATCTTCTACGATGATCCGGGGGATCTGGTATGGTTATATTGCATTTCCTTTCAGAATACTCCACTAATATTGCTTCTACGATGATCCGGGAGATTTTCCGGGAAATTTTAGAGAGTATAGAGCACTTCTTTGCAGAATTGAGTCAAAGTTCATTCTTTCGTCCTTATTATCCTCTTCCTGAAGAAGAGGATGATCAATTAAATTTTCAATCCTCCTCCTCCAGGAGGCTCCTCAACAGCAAAGTTCGTCCTTATCCTTTGATGATGAGACATCCATTCGTTCAAATCAGGCCGCTCGCAGCACGGACAGGCCGCGAGGTGGGTCTAAGGTGTCCTTGGGTGGTGCTTCCAGCAGTGGTTCAGCTTTGTGTCGGTTGTACGAACCGCCACCCAAGCTACTGGACGAGTCCGGAGGTCGTAAAAGCCCTTTGCAGATACGGCAGGAAAAAGCAATGCTTAAGGCTTGGGACATGTTGTCTAATTCATAAATCTGAAGTAGTTAACGCAAGTAAATCGAGATCGACTCACTCGCTCATTCATAATTGAGAGGCAATTCATCACTCGTACTTAGAGCGCATCTTTCCTCTTACTTAAGAGGGTGCTGCGTCTTTGAAAGATCCACTGCTCTCTTACTACTGTTTTCAAGGGAAAATATATAATTTCACCGAGTACTGTTTTCAAAGGGAAAGCACGGCAGAGATGACAATCTCCAAGATGAAGGTCAAATATATGTGAATTTAGGATTACAACTAGGTAAGGAGCTCTAACATTGACAACGCTTCGCTGGGGAATAAAGTGATGCAGCTTATTGGAGGGACTTTGGCGCCCCAGCACTATGGCGAGAAGCTTGAGGTGAGTGATGCATCATGTGAAGAAGCAAGTGGAGGTCATCCTCAGCATGGTGGTGGCATGAATGCGGGTGAAGGCTCCGAGCCCGAGGACAAGCAGGTAGAAGTGAATCTGGGAAGGCTGACTGCTGGGGCGTTGCGGATTTCCTCCGTTCATGCGGGGAAACTTCAGCAGAGTGCGGGAAAACTTGTGAGTCCCTCTATTGCAGAAGCCGACAAGGGGGACAAGGACAACCAGAAGGAGAAGAGTGCTGTAGTTGAATCTGCGGCGGAGCAGGAAAAAAAGGAGGAAAGTAAGAAGTCTTCAGCAGGTCAACATGGCGTTGGCGACCAATACCAAAAGAAATCGTCGAAAAAGAAGGAGCAAGAGAGAGAGTACGTTCGTCTTTTCGAGCCGTCTGCTGCAGTCCTGAAAACGCAATTAGAACATCAGGAGGAGACGAACATTGCCAAGCAAGTTGGGGACGCCATGACCAACTGCATCGATTTTCTGAAGGATCAGACGCACTATCCAAAGTTTACCAAGATGAAGCAAGGCCAAGTTTTATTACCTGGAGGTACCGACGCGTCGGCATTGACTGGGGAGGAAGCGAATCAAAAACTCATGGAAGAGCACAAGAGGCAACAATTGGAAAAAATCGCGTCGCAGTTGAACCAGACATCTTCTGTTAAGGCTCAATACTAATTCAAGGCATTTTCCGCCCAATAGATGTTCAATAAGTATTCATTTCTACGCACAAGGCATTTTTGTTTTTCCCTCTACTTTCCTTTTTAGGATTCATTGGGAGAAATGCAGACCACAAGAAATGAATTGCTTCGAAGACTCTAATTCAGGTGGCAGAGATTCCTCAACATCTGCTTCCGGTGGTGGCAAAGCAGCTTCCTCGACGGTGCATAATCCGATATTGGACCGTGCTCTGTCTCAGGTCGGCTTACATCCGACCGAGGTGCAACAAAAATATCGAGAGTCCAGGCGATCAACGACTTCTACTCTTGGTGGGGTGTATCTGGATGACGATAATGAAGATGGCGCAGTAAAAACATCATTAATATCTACTAATGCGAATATGTTGAACGACGCTGGAGGAGGTACTCCGAACAAAAATACAAGAAAGCGAGGGTCTACTTCTTCAATTTCAGCAACTGATCGTTTATCCCAAGCTTCTGAAAAAGTTTCCGTCTTTCTGCAGAAAGCCTCTGAACAGACAGAAGGGTGCTTACCGACTCGCGAAGCTCTCTTGCGCTCCATGGAATGCCCAGACCCGGACGATGAGAATCAAAACCGTTTCGTTATCCTCATCTGCGAGTTGCTGGCCATCTTCCGGCAATTCTCAAAACCCTGCTTACCAGGTGCTGGACAAGATGGAGGTTCTCCTTCGGAAGATGCAGAGACGAATAGAGGGTCTCCTGGGTCTCCAACTTCTAGAGCTTCTAAAAATGCCAAAGCTGCAGGAGGTAAGGGAAAGAGTTTGGGTACGTCCTCTTCGTCGGACGCGATCGACGAGGTTTCGAAAATCAAAGAGGACAAAATCACAAGGGTTCTGCGACTGCACGAAGCAAGAAACGACTCCGCGATTCACGAAATTTTCTCACGCAAAAAACTAGATAGAAGTAGCAGCTGTCCTCCGACACTTGCTGAAGAGGCAGCTGTTGACGCACAAGTGCTGCTTGGAGCTGCATCTACTCCTGAGACACTGGGGAAGGAACTCAAGACTCTGAAAGTCGAACTGGAGGAGAAGAAGGACATTGAGAAAGTAGGCACAAACGTCTCTAGAAGAGGCTCAAAACTCGAAAAATCTCAAACTGCCGCAGTGGATATTATATGGAGGCCTACTGGCGATCTTGAGGACAATCATGCGGTAAAGCTTGACGAGGCGGAGACGACCAGCCCTCGTCAGGCACAAGAAGAGGCAACTTCAACTCCCTCTAGCAAAATTGGCATTTTTGAGACAACTGCAACAGGAGTCACTTCTTCAGCTTCTTCTGCAACAATGAAGTCTTCGCCTGCTGCTCTTGAGCGGGAAAAGCGACGCATGGAATCAATGGGGAGGGAGACTTCGGCAAAAGCACGGAAGAGCACGAACGTGCACTCAGGTCCAAACGTTGTGAGCCACTCTACAAGCGTGGCACAGGCATCAAGCACGGCCACTTCTGCAACAGCGACTCAGGAAATCACGGTGGAAGCGGAAAGAGAAACCCCTCCAGCTGCAACTCCTGCGCAAGAGGTTACTCCTGTTCGCGTGTTTCGAAGTAGCAACAGCATTACCTATCGAAGTAGCAACAGCATTACCTATCGAAGCAGCAACAGCATTACCTATAAAAATCAACTTCTGAACAACGCTACGAAGGAAGTCGGAGTTGTGAAGAAGGACATCTCCGATCTCATCTGCAAGAACAGGAAAGAAGAAGATGCAAATGCAGTTCTGGTACCTGATGATGGCAAAGGCAAGGATACAACAACTCGAACTCTTGGTAGTGCGGACTACAGTGTGAATGGTGAGGCGCCAAGCAGCGGCACAAGTGTAGTCGCACCTTCTAGGCCCACGTTGGAGGACGCCAAGAGCTCACCGGCTCGGCGTCCCAATGCAGCTCAGAGGGAAGCAAGAAGGTCTTCGAGATCTCAGAAACGGAAACGGGGAGGCAAGAGCGTGGCGCAGCAAAGTGCAGCAGCTGTACCGAGCAAATCGCCAACCTATTCTCCGGCACGAGTGTTAACCCCTAGTGCTACTAGTACGATCATATACCCGCATTACATGAAACCCTTAGGTGCTAGTGGGGTTCCCGGATTAAGCTTAAAATACCAGCAAAGTTCGACTATAACATCTGGAGTTGCTGTTCGAACATCTTCTACAAGTACAGGATCAACATTAAGTGCTGGGGGTGACTCGTCCTTGACAGCAGCAGGGTCCTCCTTAACCGCAGCAAGCAGAGTAGGACCTCAGCACGGCCAACAGCTCACGTCTGAGTTCAATCGGCTTCCTGGCGTTATCGCGGTTTACCCAAAAGACTTGGGGCCCATTGACGTGCCTCCTTTGTTTGTCGTCGAAAAAAAGATGCAGCAGCAAAACGATCTACGTGCAGCTGCCCTACAGGATACCGAAAGGAATAACGAGGCACTGGCAGAATCCTCGAAGAAGAAAGCCGGTCTGCAACTCTCGAGCAACAGTAAGTCTACTACGTCTGCTCTTGAAGCTAGTCCTGCTCACAGGGCTATAATTCCTCCAACAACACAAGCTGCACAGGTTACTGCGATTGCCTTGGAGGAAGACGAAACTACTTTAGTTCCTACGAAAAGCAAAAAATTGAGGAGCCCAAAATCCCGCTCGCGAGGTCAAAACGAGACTGCTGAGAGCATTATTAGCGCTCTAGCGCCTCCAACGATCGCAGTAAGGACAACACGAAATTCGGAGGCTCTTAGGGCGACTTCAGCGACGAAAAGACGGTCCAACAGTCAGACGGACCCGGGAGACACCCGGACACCCTCCCGGGCCCCAGAGGAGCGGATTAGCAGTAATGGGAGACCTCTGTCGTTGCGTAGATCACGTAGTCCAGTGCAGAGAGCAGAGTGGATATGATATGGTGTATGCGTATCTACGGTCGAAAGAGCAGAGTTGATATGATATGGTGGACGCACATCTACTTCTGGGGAAAGAGCGGAGTGGATATGACATGACTTCTTAGAAAGTAGAAGCATCTTCGGGGGAATGAGCAGAGTGGATATGATATTTTCCCTACATCAATTCATTTTCCCTACAACGAGAATACGTGGGCCAGTGAAAAGAACGGATCACAACTTGTTAGAAAGTACTTCAATGGAGTTCGCAACATACTTAATACTTGCAAAGACGAAAGCGAGAATACTAGAGGTAGAGCAACTTATTATCTGAAATTAGAAAGAGAAGACTAGGCACAGTTACAGCAGGAGCACTAACATGTCATAGAGAAAAACAACAAGGTTGCGGAAAAGAAAACGATCACTTTTTTTTGAATTTATCGAACTCGCTTTTTGAACTATTCGAACTCATTTTTTGGAAATGGCGGGTCTTGCAAAGGCAAGTCTGTAAGGCTGTTACAATCTAAAATTTCATTCATAAGTAGTTCTTGATTGTCACGACAAACCGGTGACTCAGAAACCCACTCCTACTTGGTGACAAATTCAGAATGATGTAGAGCAGCAGACGAGGCGTTAGTTTTTTCTATACTCTGGTATTTCCTAGGATATTGTTCGTTTGTGTTACAGATTTAGATATAGTAGTGAAAATCAAGATAATGGGAGCTTATTTTTTCAAACGCAATCACAAACGCATAATCATAGTCAAGATAACACGAGACCAACGAAGGGCCTTGTGGGTCGTCCAAATCATGGCGGCAGAGGCGGACAAGCATTTGGATCCGACGAGGACTCTGCCTGTTTTTTTGAAGAGACACGGACACCCCGAAACGCCGGTGGCGATGCTTCTCCTTTCTCAAGAGTCTCGTACCGTAATATGCCATGGCTCATTTTTCGGGTAGATGAGATCGAAAGCGCATTCAAGAAGACCACTGAGAAGGTAGCGATGTTTCTTCCTGAAATATTCTCTGTTACGTGAGTTAGAGTTTCTGTCCTTATACAACATGATATGGAGTGAACACTATTATAGGCATTTTAGCATAAAGAGTTGTGTACTAGCGAAGATCTTCTCTGGTATCGTAGTATTCAAAGTCTGTGGCGGCCGACGTCGAGAGGTGCTGAGTGCAAGGCTGCGTCTGTTTCCGTTTAAATTCTGTGAACTAGCAAGAGCAGTTGTTGAGATACGTGAGAGGGTCAGGAGTTCCAACGGTGAAGCTCAAGCACATTATCATGTGTCAGATAATTTCTGTCGAGGCTAGAGTCTGTTGGAGACCCAGTCCCTGTTATATAATCAATCGGAATAGGTTTAGGTGGCCCTTCTCGGCACGATGAATGATGAATGTTCTATCTTGCTTCGTCTTTCTTAAATTTATCAACTCCAAAAGGTTTATTTTTTTTTCGAATTTTCTTATTTACGAAGAGTCATCCTCTTGCACCGGCCTTCCCCAACCTATAAATATGGATATTCCCTTTGTTTCCCATGCTGTTCCTTGTTGCCCCGACTATAATATGACCTGATCCTTTTTCTGCTTACCATTTCTATCTGCTTTCATATCTAAGATCTTGATAGATTATCTCTTTGTCATCTTTACTTCAAGAGGATAAAAGTAGAAGTACACACCGTTACCGATACCCTTTAATCATATTCTCTTTGCCTGAGACTACTAATTTTTCTGTATGATCGGCGTTTTAACAAAGTTCTTGATCTTTTTGTATAGACGTTCTAGCTTTAGCGCATTAGAAAAGTCTTAAAATATGACTATGTCTCCCTCGTCTTCTCCTTCCTCAAACAAGATGAGGGGCACGAGTGTTTTGGTGACACTGCATGCTGTGGAAAGACGAATCAGCGATCGTCGCATAGACGAAGATCGAGAATACGTTGGTAGGATAAACAACCACGACTTGCGTCCAAATGATTCGATCGCCATCAAGCAAGTTACTCTGGGTAGTGTCTTTCGGATGGCTTTTTTTGAAGATACGGACAAACAAGATAGGGCTAGAAGCGGTGCCCTCAGCAGTCCTTGTGGCAGTGGCGAGAAGACTATATTAGAAGACGATGATGTGCACTATGGCGACGACAACGTCAGCATTTCGGCATCTGAAACAGGGTCGCTTTCTGCTTCCTGTTTCCCATCCAAATCCCTCAAGCAAGTGCAAGCTCCTGAGTCGAGTCATCCTCGCGCGCCTGTTGCCCATCTGCGCCTCTCGATGCGTGAATTGGCTAAAACGCGCGGCATAGACAAAGAGTGGCATCTTGCCGCAACTACAGCAACAAGTTGTAAGACTTCTTCTCCTAAGAACATACCGCTCAACATCAGGCCTGCAAGTAGCCGTGCAACGTATTGGATTTGCCTATCTGTGAAGCCCTGTAGTAGTACAACTTCTTCTAAGACTGCGATGACGCGGCAAGCGGTGAATGACGTGAGCAAGAAGATATCTTCTCGAGGATCTACGCCTATTTCTTCTCCACAAAAGGGAAAGTCTACTTCTCCGATGTTGAGAAGACCTGTCGTCGAAGTCGACCAAGCTGCAGTAGAGGTTGTACACCCTGCTATTCAAAATGTGAAACAATTTCCTCGACGTCTCCGTCAAGACCCACAAGTTATTTCACCTAGTTGTAGGAAAGGCATTTCTCCTCGCAGGGTACTGAAACTGTCCTCCTCTTTGGCTACGCCTCAGTCGTCCTCGACTTTGCAGTTCGCTAAAAACCGCGGATCACAACCTTATGGTTCGCGTCCACAGGGCTTTCTTTTTTCGCCAGCTACAAGTGGCGCTGGTAAACTGGTTCTTGGTGGACGGGGACACGACCAGAAGAAGCGACGAAGCTTGACGGAAATAACATATAGTGGTAGTACTAGAGGTTGGACAACTAGCAGTGGCACAAATAGTTCTTCGAATAGTGCGAATATGAGAGTAAAGTTAAGGCTTGAAAGTTGACATCTCTATGCGCATCTCTATGGCTTCTCCCAGTAGGAAAGCCATAGATATGCGAGCTAGAGACGCCAACTTTCAGCCTCTAATAAAGAATGTCATCGCTTCGCCAGCAGAGATAGTGGGAGGAGACAAAAGTCCTGAGGAGAATTCGCTAGCCCTCGTTCCTATAGTTGCTCCGGTGGTTCCTTCAAAACAGCTCTGGTTCGGAAGGGATAGCACTAAGACGACAGATCTAGCTCATCTCCGACTCTTCAACGTATGCGGCTTTGTGAGGCCTCTAGACGACGCCTGGAGTGTGGAAATGTCTAGCCTGCGGATCCGGTCCGCCGTTGCTGCTCTAGACTCGCTTCTCCAGGAAAAAAGATCGTGGATCGAAAATGAGGATCTGCAGTGGGTAAATAAGGAGGAAGAAGCTCTAGCTGTAGATATACAAGGTTAAAATTGGGGGATGCAAGTACAAAATCCTCAACAAACTTCTAGTACTAGGAGACAAGAACTTGATCTTCATGAAGTCGAGTTTGAACAACTAGGTTCTCCAACAAGCCTGCATCTGCCAGATACCATCGTCAAGGCCCTAGAAGACTATATGAACGATCTAAAGATGGTGAACCTGAAATTACCCAACTTGAAGACGCCATTTCCAATGGGCTCGGAAGCTGGCTTAGTTGCGGGTTGCCGAGAAGATCTCCAAAATAATGCTCTTTCTTGTCATGCGGAAGCAACGACGTTAGTCTTTTATAACGAAGAAGAGCGATCAGCTGAAGCCGGTGTTGATGAAGCTGGCAACGCCGACCCACTGGTCGCAACTGACGAGCTTCTTGTTGCCACAGTCGAGAGGTATCCTACGCTTACGCAGTTTGCAGATGACCAAATCGCCTTTGGCCGTGATCCGTGCTTTTCCTCCTCGTCCGCCTCCAGTAGTGCAGACGAAGGGGCGGATGAAATAGTCGAGCAGGTGAGAGGACGCGTACTGACTGCCCACAATGCCGTAGATCATGAAGCAGGGCAAGTAGAAGAGGATGACAAGCATAAGGTCGCCAAACAGGAAGAAGAAGAAGAAGATGATGGGCTCACTGAAGCTCCATGGAGGACGTGGTCAGCATTTTTAGGGCCTTTTGCCGAGATGATATTAGGGCAAGAAGGGCCCCAGAGCCTCCAAAGCAAAAGTGCTACCATCCAATTCTATCAAGATGGTCCGGCGACCGCGGGTTCCCGGTCATCACCTCAGTCGCACATCCACAAGCCCTCGTCGAGTGCTGAGAAGCCAAAGTCGAACGTGGAGGCCCTAGGGACGCATCATCACGATCACCATTCGCATGCAGAGAAGGCAGGCACCGCACATCATTATAGCCGCTCGCAGGGAGAGAAGATGGAGGCGCATCAGCATAGCCACGCGCATGCTCTAGGGAAGTCGGAGGCGCATCAGCATAGCCACCCGCATGCGGTAGGGAAGACGGAGGCGCACCAGCATAGCCACGCGCCCAACGTAGATGCTACAGCGCAGCGGCACAGCCATTCACATACAGAAAAATCCAGCCCACAGCATAGTCACTCGCATGAACAAGACAAGACGGCCACGCACGCTTCGCATCACGAGGCGCCGGCAGAGAAGGGGCATAGCGGTTCACACCATGAGGACGCCGCGCAACATTCGCATCATGAGACGCCCGCAGCGCAGGGGCACAGTCACTCACACAACGAGGCCGGGCAGCATTCGCATTGCGAGGCGCCCGCAGCACAGGGGCATAGCGGTTCACACACCGGGGCCGCTGCGCACCATTCGCATCAGGAGGCGCCCGCAGCACAGGGGCATGGCAGTTCGCATACCAGGGCCGCGCACCGTTCGCACCAGGAGTCGGCCGTACCAGCGCACTTGCATGGCGGGTCACGCCATGAGGCTGCTGCGCATCAGCCTGGTGTGCCACACCAAGAGAAGGCAGAGGCGCATCGGCATAGCCACTCGCACAGCGAGCACGCCGCAGCCCATCACCATAGCCAATCACATGAAGAGAAGGCCGACGCGCATCGGCATGGCCACTCGCATCACGAGCACGCTGCAAAGCATCAGCACAGTCACCCACATGTAGAGAAACCCGAGTCGCACCGGCATAACCACTCACACGGCGAGCACGCTGAGGCACATCAGCACAGTCACCCGCACCATGAAGAACACGCTGCCACCCATCACCACAGTCAGTCACAGCATGGGGACGGCCGCGCGCACCACGAGCATCACCACAGCCACCCGAAGCAGGGGGACGCCCGCTCGCACCATGAACACCACCACAGCCAGTCGCAGCATGGGGACGCCCACTCGTACCATGAACATCACCACAGCCACCCGAAGCATGGGGATGGGGACGCCCACTCGCACCATGAACATCACCACAGGCAGTCGCAGCATGGGGACGACCACGCGCACCATGAGCATCATCATGCACACCGGGCTTCTTCTTCATCAACCTCTGCAGGAGAGATACTGTTCGGCGAAGATCCTATGAATATCCAGCGCCGTATGGAATCCTTAGGTTGTGGCACGGTGGCTTCTCAGCTATCCAGGGTGCACGGAGACTTAGGGGACCTGCTAGAAAAATTGGCAGTTCGTCATAAGCGCATAGTGGATGAAGATGCGGATGAAGTAGAAAAGATGCTGGTAGAAAACGCAGCAGACCCAAAAGGATCTCCAGAAAAGCTACTTAAAGAGATGCAAAAGGATCTGCAGTTTTTCGACACTTCTACGACTAGTAAAAGGCCAGGTCTTCTTCATGCGGTAAACACAAAAGGCAGCCAGAATAAGCAACGTGGAGGTTCAAAAACGGAGTTGGCGGCTGTAATAGAAGAGGAGATTTCCGGTCTGCGTAGACTGACACAGAAATATCATCATATAGACCTGTCAGGAGCAACCCCTGACCTGCCTATGCTAACACTTGGACGTCCCAGCAATGTTGGAGGCCCTGAAGACACAGACGTCCGTGGAATGCTACAAGCTGCCTCTCCGAATGAAAGTTCTTCTTCAGAGGACCTCGAAGAAGTGGATGATGCTGATGAGGACGATGCCTCTTCGGTTTCCTCAACAATGACCCACTTGCCGTTTATGTCCCCCTTTTGCTGTAATCTAGTGGAGCAAACGAGCGTAAAGGCTTCTAGGAGGGGGCCGCGGGATAGGGATACGCAAGACAACTTCTCGTCTGAAGTGGAGGATCTGCTTCCCAAAGATGATGTTGACGCCCACGACCTTTTGCCCGTTAGAAGCAAGTACTACAGGCGTAACTTCAAACGCTTGCAAGCTTCTGGGGCTTTTCGCTACACTGGTGTGCATCCGGCGGATTTATTCGACAAAGATGGGCTGTTCCGACCCACGGCTTTAGACTGGAAAACTGGCAAGCATGATGCAGTTTTAGCCAGGGAGCATGAGGACGAGGCTAGAGAGCGGAAGAGGCGGCAAAGGCTCTTTCTCCTAGGAGCTGAACTGACGAAATTGCGGAGGCAAGAGCAATTAAAGGCAGCAGTAACTGCAGGGGAATGCACGGAGGAGGATGAGAAGTCGGCCAAAGCGAGATCAGCAAGAATGCAAGAAGTTTTGGCTTATGCAGATGTGCTGAGAAAAATGGGCATTCATCACAAGAAGGGAAAGAGCAGGATGAAAGGTACTAGAAGTGCTAGATTTTCTTTGTTTTTGCTTGTGATGTGCATGTGGAAGTGCAATCTTGTTTCAGCTTTAGTTACCGTATTTTTTTACTCGTCGCCTTAGAATTTTCCATGTAGCAAAGGTGCCATTTACCGTGACTACTTCCAAGTAGTTCATGATTACAGGTCTTTTGTCTAAGCTGTACTGCATTGTTCTTTGCGTTTCTTTGAAGTACTCTTGTTTAAATAGCTTCAGAAACTCTCATAACGCCAACTCCTCAGGCCGCTCTTCAAGAAAAGCTTCATGGAAGCAGAAGCTCGCTTTGGGCGATGAGGATGACCATGACCACAGCGAACAAGATAATACTAGACCTTCAACAGACCTTGAGGCACCAGATCGCTATAATAGTTCAGATCGCTACACTCCTGAAAGGCTGGAAGGGAACTACGATCAACGGCTGCGGGATATGTTCCTCAGACCCTTCGACACCTGGGGATACAAGGGCTTGCCCCACGTTTTTCCCAGGGAAGCAGTCCTGAAGTCCGTGGATCGAGTGCGGCTCGAAAGGGAAGTTAGAGGATTCCGGGATGAAGATGCGGGTGACTTCTCCGGAGGCGAGGATAATATTAAGGGTTGGAAGTTGGTAGAGGATAGCATGTCAGATAATAAATTCCGAATTGCATATCAGATAAGGCTAAGGCTCAATACAATGCATTTCTCCTGCAAGACATTTGTGTGCCTGTTTCTCTCTTGGGATTCTGAAGAAATGTCAGCAAGAAATGATTTTGGTATCTCTATGGGCAACATCTCTATGGCTTCTTCAAGTAGGAAAGCCATACTAGATATGCGTTCTAGAGCGGTCAACTTTCAACCTCTAATAATCTTCATCCAGAGGACCAACTGCTCTTCATACCAAAGAGACGAAAATCCCCGTCCAGAAGAGCATCTACTTCGGCAAAACGAGGAATAAAGGCTTCTAAAAATACATCTTCTTCTTCGACTTGTCGGACGAGCAATAGCGCTTACTTACAACTGGCGAGCAGATGGTTTACCGTTCCCCCTGAAGAGCAGTATGAGTTCTTGTGGGAGCATTTTTCCTATCATTTGAAGGGTGTCGAGACTTCTAGAGTCCAAGGACCTGCAAGTCATATTCTATGGGCTCGCGCACGTGACTCTCTGCAAAAAGCGATTGCGAAGTTGTCTCTCTTGGACACAACTATGATCAATGGGCCGAAGGGTGTAGTCGGAGCTGCTGCGGCAAAAGGAAAAGGAAAGCAGCAATCTGGTGGTATCGGATTCCCGTCGTCAACGTCCCTCGGCGTTGTCGACGCTATGCTGCAACGTGCATGTTTAAGGTGTATGCAACAGCGACTGCGGTTGAACATGGACAGAAATTGGGCTACGACACTAAGAGAATGCTTCGATTTGACGCAATTTGTACGACGCAGTATACAAATGGCGGATGAGGAGGTACTAACTTCTAATACTAGCATTCGCATTGCATGTCGAATTATATGTTTATAAGACACGACTAGAAAGTAGTTGAGTATAATTTTTGTTTATGATCTAGGTTGGCTTAACAACGTCCATTACATAAGTACTTACATCCGTTTATGTAGAAGTACTTCTAGTACAACTAGTAGCATGACTTGTACCAGTATGACTTTGGTTTAGTTCTCGAAACTTAGACTTTGCTGTTGTTCGCTAAGCAACCTTGCATCTGCTACGCATCTATCGAGACCAAGACCGAAGAGTTACCACCTCTATCGTATCATGATTCATCATCAGATGAAACAAGTCCCATCAACCCAGTAGCAAACATTTTCTCTCTTTTTACTACGATTCTACTGTCGAGCATCCTTCATTTGTATAGGCTTTCCCTTTCCAGTATTCTCTCATACTAGAAGTTCTGCTAGAAGGCTCAGGTAGTAATTGCTCTTCTTGAGCATTTTCTCTCTTTTTACATCAGAGGGTTTCCCTTTCCAGTATCATTTGTATAGCCTTTCCAACTTTACTCTATCTGCTCTTTTTACCACGATTCTATCTGCTACTCTACATCTCGTTCAGATCGATGCGGAGGGTTGGCTCGTGGAGTGTCTAGAAGACTGCTTCCGCGCGATCGCCCACGATGAAGCGGCCATGTTTGAAGCCGTTTACAAAACTCCGTATATGATCGGATCTCAATCGCCCTTAGAAGATCTGAGTCGAGTGGAGCGTGCGCTTTTAGCGGCAGTTCGGGAGGCGATCCTCCTAAAGCAAAGTCTTCAGAGACTTGCTGGAGGACTGGTGGAAAGAGAAAGAGAGAATCCTCAGAAGGAAGGCACTGGACCGAATGGACCCAAAATAGTGACAGACGAACTCCCGTTTCAGGTTCTCGTGGATTTTAGAGGATGACGTAGGTGGGCCAGCTGCATGTTCGCGGGTTATAGTCAGCGCAAAATCAAAATGAGGAACCACGTAGGTATTACAAGAACTCAGACATTATTAATATACTGCAGTAATTAGTTTTTACAACTGAATACGAATACTAATTATTTACAAGTGTGGGTACATTCATTCATTCAAGTGCTTTTCTGATAATCTTGAGCGATTTGCAGCCAACTGAATACTCTTATTCAACAACCGTATCATCAATTGTTCAATACTCCTTGGATCAAATACTTATACTAACATCGCCATCTTCTACAACTATACTAAATACTCATGCAATCTGATTATCAGCATCATTCTGATGTTCTAATGATCATTACTTTCTCTGATCCTGATCATTACTTACTCTGATGTACACAATCCAAACAATATCAACAATAAGGGCTTATCACGCGTACACCTTCAACTGCTACAATGAATACTTGTTTGCTCGAATACTTGTGTATGTCTACTTAATCTTTGACTGATATTTTTTCATGATAGTCGACTGAACAAATCTGCGACAGAGGGTCTTTTGCACTTACGACAGTGCAATATACGATTGGTACTATTTTCAAGACCGACAAACTACATTGCACAGTGAACCAATGAATACATGAGGAGCAGGCGACGTAAAGAGAGGTCCCTTCCGTGGCAAAAGAGGGTATCAGCTGGATAGTTGTAGGTCCTTGAAGGTGTTCCAAGAAAATTGGAGGGGGCGATGGCAATACTGCTGCTGCTGCGGCCGTTAAACGCATCGCTGATACTCTCACTCGTCGTTAATGTGCGGCTTGCCTACGACCATGCGTTCCGCGAAGCTAACGTCGCTGTGCTGGGATCCAGCGGCAACACAGCGGACGGAGACCCCATGAGAAAATGAGGAATATCGCGTCCTCGAAGGAAATATTCAATTTTTCAATGAAGATCATGACCGGCAGCGCCAGAGCGACTGGGGTGTGCGTCGTGCGTCGAAAGATAAAGTGGCATTATCGAAGCGAATGAGGAGTTCGTTGTGTACAAAAGGTGAATGAGAGAAATCTTTTGGAGGTGTTGCGAAATAGACGAGAGTAAACTACAGAGTAAGAATACATCATCACGACCTTCAACGGCAATTATCGTCTTCTGTTTCTACCCAAGAAAATGCGTTTCGTCCGGTATCACAAAATCTACGACCGAGCGCCAGCTGGGAAAGATGCGCAGCCAAGTGGATCGTCTTCTTATGACACCTCTACAACGGCTCAATCGGAATGGATTGTCCAGGAGAAAATACATGGTGCGAATTTCTCTATCCACGTTACCGAGTCCGTTATCCGTTATGCCAAAAGAGGAGCCTTTCTGGATTTCGATTAGGACTGTTTCAACGACTTCCAACGACTGGACGATGTACTGCGTCCTGCAGCAAGAAAGTTGTGGCAAACGTCACAGATATCGACGGCGCCTGACCAGCCTCCAGCAACGAAGCGAGCCTGTAAACAAGCGAGCGCCGCATCGTGTGGCGAAGCGTTCATTATGAAAGTGGCGATAGCTCTTCGCCTGGTGCATAGCGCTTGCTAGTCTTGGCCTATATTTGATCAAGGCCGGATAGGTGTTCAATTCAGCGACTTTCACGTAACTTTGTTGTATGGTGAATCGAGCATCAATATAATCGCCACCGAGAGCGATTCGCAGGAACAATTCTAAACATGAGCAAATCGCGATATATGGCGAGCTCTTCGGCGGTTACCTGCCGTCGGAGAAAGAGGCACAACTCGGATGGGACGCGCTGTTTCGCAGTAGGACAACGGCTGCTTCTCGGCAAGCATCTTGCAGCGCGAAAATTATAGCGTCTCGTGCTGTACAAGAGGGAGTGTACTACGCGAGTGATGTCAAATTCATCGTTTTCGATATTGTGGAATTTTGGGATAATTATGGGAAGGTGGGGCAAAAAGATGGAGAGCGAACTACGACGTTTCGTTTTTGGGATTACGACTCGGTTAAAGATTATGGACTGAAATTTGGATTCTGTTTGTGGTCCCATGCTAGTTACTTGGGGGACCGAGGTGGAGTGCACATGGGGGCGAGAGTCTTTGCGATTTTTTACGTGAAGTTCACAATAGAACTGCAACTGCTGATTCTCCGGATTGTTTTTACCTCGGTTTCTAAAAGGCCATGGGCTCGGCCGCGGGCTTTCTCGTAAGCGACGTACTGCTGCGGACGCCTAAGTACGCAGACGCGGCAAATTACGATGTCAATACCTTGCAGAGTCAGCTGGCGCTGAAACTGAATCCGAATATTAAGGCGAGAAACAAGCGCCGCGTGATTTTTGCGGCAATGATTTAAGCCAGCAAGAGGTACTAATCGCAATTATAGCATTGAAGATCTTGTTTTGAATTTCAGGCAATTATGGGACACTTGTATCTAAGCAGCATGCGGCGCTGAAACTCCTGGACAACCTCGCGGAAGGCGTGGTTATCCGGCCTGCGGGGGGTGCCGAAGTGACGATATTATGGAAAGTTACTAATTGTTCCATAGATAGTTCACTCTAGTCGGGTAACCCAGCAGTAAGTCCAATTGTTTTCTGTCCAAATCCCACCTAACATAAGCCTGGATTCAGAATATGGTACTGCAAAACCTGTAGTTGTCCATATTCCTACTTGATTGTCCCAAGTTCATTGTATCCTGCCGATCCAAGCGGCCTATTTTCATTTGATTGCCCCACGTTCATTGTATCCTGCAGACCCAAACGGCACGAAGGAGCTGCCGGTAGCGCGGTTCATGTTGAAACGGAAACCAGCACGCTTTTCAGAGGAGATCGACAATGTGGAGACGATGCATGGAGGTGAAACCCCGGAAGCAGTGTTTCGCACTCGGATCGCGCGTCTAGTCAATCTGAATCGTCTCGCATCAGTTGTGTCGAAGGCGCCGCCGCCGGAGGGTGTTTATGCAAGAGTTTTTACTTACTTACTTACTTACTTACTTACTTACTTACTTACTTACTTACGCGCTGTGGTAGAATGTTGAATTTCAAATGGAGTTTCTGAGGACACTGTCCTACAGACTTTTACGCACGGAGCATATCTGGTTTCTGATGTTGTCGTCGTGGTACACTCTTTCCTTGCCGCTACGCGAGGGTCTTTCGTGGAGACGCGCAGGAGTAACTTCTAATCAAACCACGCTACAGCAGAGGAATGGTCCGTCTGGACTGAGCAGATTGTTTCTGATTTTGCCGGAGACGTGTGGGAAGCTTTCTGGTCGTCGGGCTGCGATCTTGGGAGTGTGGATTTTATGGGAGTAGCACACGACGTAGGAGGAGCAGGTCTTGATACCTTCTTCTCTTACTCAATTTGATATCTTAGATTTTCTTGCTCAGCTACCAGAAGATCAGGGAATTCGACGTGCAACTTGTTTACTTTCACTGAGACTTGTGCCTCTGTTGAGCTTGAAGATACGAGTGAAGCAAGTAAATGTCTTGATGTGCTCGCGATATTTCCCTCTCATGCACAACGACATGGGTAACGAGTACGTGGAAAACGAGTGCCGCCGCGTTGTCGATAAGCGCTACGGTGTCGTGTCCTGAATCGCTTTGAGCATACTTACCAAAGATCGGTAAAGGCCGGGGCAATATTGTCCGGTGTAGCGAGGCTCATTTCAGTGCCTAGGAGGTGGAGGGAAAATCTCAGAAACTGGAAGCTCCGCTAAGATTAGAGAAGCAACTTGGCACACACCCAGCCCAGCCTGATTATACCGTGAGAAATGGGGAGTGCCCACACGGCGCATGTTGAGGACCGACGCCACCGATGGGACTCAGAAGATTCTGATGTAGCAACTAACCTGCAACATGGTTGATTATTGGCTGGAGGAGTTTCTTTTTCAAAAAATTGAAATTTCCATGGTTCTCTTCGAGCGTTGCTGGAACTTCCGAAGATTCTCGTTCATGATGGAGAGTTTCTTCTTCGCGTCACGACGCTCAACAGGATATCACGACGCTCAACAGGATGTCAGCGTGCAAAAAACATTCCTTCGCTCCCTCGTATTCGGCAAGATACAATGTGCATGACTGTTTCGTGTTCCGCCGAATCCGGTTTTCTTCAAATTGGCACAAGTCGAAATTCTGATGATTGTATAGAGCACAAGCGTTGAAAATTCAGACTTTGAATCAGAGGTTGGAGTCTTTTCACTTGGTAGAGAATGATGATCGTGATCCGTAGTCTCTATCAGAATCAGCAGATCCTTGAACGTCGTTGATCCTAGTGAAATCCGGTTCTTATAGAGTTTTCAAATCAGACTTCTGTGTGAGAAATCCTTGATCGTGTTCCTGAGGAGGTCCTAGAGATCCGAGATCTTGCGTATTCAATGTTGAAATGCAGAGACGAGGTCAGTTATAATGCGTATTCAGCGTCTGCGTCGGAATACACGAGATCTTTGATAATGACACATTCTACGCTGAAATGCACGAGTTCATAAAATTCTGAATGCGAATTTTTTCCGAATGAAAGTGAAATGTCTTGTTCTACGAGGCAGAGATCACGAGCCTGTAGTGGCACAGCGAAGTCTTCTTGAGTAGATAAATAGAAATCTCTGTTTGATAATCTGCCAAAAAAGAGAGTCCTTGAGTTGAGTTCAATTTTCCTTAACAAAAGTGTTTGATTTCCATCATCCATCCACAGACCCTTTCAATCCTAATTCTCCAACATCATCAAACAACAGGACATAAGTTAAATCGCATTTGCAAGTGCACGCTTTTTCAATTCGGGTTTTTCATACCCTTTTCATCTCTTTTATCTACAAGTTCGTTGTTTAGACCCCCAACCAAGACAAGATGGCGGAAACGTTCGCATTTAACGCTGATATCCAGCAGTTGATGAGCTTGATCATCAACACCTTTTACAGCAACAAGGAAATCTTCCTTCGTGAGTTGATCTCCAACGCGAGTGATGCGCTCGATAAGATCCGATATGAGTCCATCACGGACCCGGAGAAGATCGAGGCTCAGCCGAACTTCTTCATCAAGATCATCCCGGACAAGACCAACTCGACTTTGACGATTGAGGATAGCGGAATCGGAATGACCAAGAATGAGCTTGTCAACAACTTGGGTATTCAATTTTTGGCTATATTGGTTTTCGATTTATTAGGATCTGTTTATGCGCTTGGATTTAGATGGATTGACTTGCTTTTATACTAGTTTGGTATTGTACTGAGAAGAGCCGCAGAGGCTGCAGAAAGTCGCTTATGTAGCCAAGATGGGTTCATGGGTCGTCTCTAGTAGAGTTTCTACAAGAATTTAGATAATTTAGATTGCAAAGAACTACATGATTTTCGTTCGCTCACAACTCGTCCTCGAAATCGTTTCCCAACTTTTTCGTCCACAGGTACGATCGCCAAGTCCGGAACTAAGGCCTTTATGGAGGCCATGTCTGCTGGAGGTGATGTCTCCATGATTGGTCAGTTCGGTGTCGGTTTCTACTCCGCCTACCTGATCGCTGATAAGGTCCAGGTTGTCTCGAAGAACAACGACGATGAGCAGTACATCTGGGAGTCCGCCGCCGGTGGTTCCTTCACCGTCACCAAGGACACCGACCAGGTTTACGGTGAGGTCAAGCGTGGTACCAAGATTGTCTGCCACTTGAAGGAAGACATGACCGAGTTTTTGGAGGAACGCCGCCTGAAGGACTTGGTCAAGAAGCACTCCGAATTCATCGGATTCCCGATCGAATTGTACATCGAGAAGAGCGAGGAAGTTGAGGTATTTGTTAAGGCTATGCTGGATTGCTATGCGGATTTCACTAGTCGGTGGGACTAATAAGAAGAAGTTGAGGTAGTGTTTTTTTGAGTTGGCAGTTTCAGACTGCAGGAATCTTAGGCTTCGTGAAAATTGACTTCGAATATGAAAATCAAAGGCTTCTAAATCTCGTTGAATTTCTCCATTTGCAGTTCCAATCTCCTGTGCTATACTGAAAGACTTCAACCGCTTTGTTTGAATCTTGTGGACCAAAGAAGACGGTAAGTAGTGATAACTATAACTCGACATCAGGTCACCGACTCCGAGGACGAAGAGGAGAAGAAGGAAGAGGAGAAGGAGGGCGACGAGCCCAAGGTGGAGGAAGCCGATGAGGACAAGGAGAAGGAGGAGAAGGAGAAGAAGACCAAGAAGGTCTCCCAGATCTCGCACGAGTGGGAGCAACTCAACAAGAACAAGCCGCTCTGGATGCGCAAGCCGGATGACGTCACTAACGAGGACTACGCTGCCTTCTACAAGGGTTTGTCCAACGACTGGGAAGACCACTTGGCGGTAATCACATTTTTAAGGATTTTTTTCAAAAGATGGATTGATTGTTAGCAGTGTCGAAAAATCTGAAGGCGTCATGTGTGCTAGTGAGAATTATGACCGTTTATCGTTGCAGTAGTAATAAGTATCCGCGGGTGAGAAAACCTTTCTGAAATATACATATCCCGATAAAACGCCCAGGTCAAGCACTTCTCCGTTGAGGGTCAGCTCGAATTCAAGGCACTCTTGTTCGTGCCCCGTCGCGCTCCGTTCGACATGTTCGAGACCAAGAAGAAGCGCAACAACATCAAGTACTAATCTTTTTCTTTAGATTGTTCGTACGTGGCATATTGCATTACTCTTCAATTTTGCGACCAAAATTTCCTTCTCCTTCGTGATAGCTGACACGTGTCAATCCGATTTTCCTCCGATTGCTCACTACTTTTCGTACTGTGATCTCCTTCACCGCAACAAAGGAAATCAGGTTGTACACGTCCTCCGTCGTGTCTCTCCATCATGGACGCTTTCATCTTTTCCCTGATTCAATAAACCAGGTTGTACGTCCGCCGCGTCTTTATCATGGACGATTGCGAAGATATCATTCCGGAGTGGCTCAGCTTCATCAAGGGCGTCGTCGACTCCGAGGATTTGCCGCTGAACATCTCTCGTGAGACCCTTCAGCAGAACAAGATCCTCCGTGTCATCAAGAAGAACTTGGTCAAGAAGTGCCTCGAGATGTTCGCAGAGATCGCCGAGAACTCTGAGGACTACAAGAAGTTCTACGAGCAATTCTCCAAGAACCTGAAGCTCGGTATCCACGAGGACGGCACGAACCGCAACAAGATCGCGGAGTTGATGCGGTACCAGACCTCCAAGTCCGGCGACGACAACGTCAGCCTCAAGGAGTACGTTGACCGCATGAAAGAGGGCCAGGAAGACATCTACTACATCACGGG